TTCCCCAATGTGCCACCCCCCCTAGAAAAAAAAATCCAAAAAAAAAAAAAAAAAAAAAAACCCTCAATCATCTCTAGACAAAATTTGCTTTCACTGTTCTAATATCCAGCTATTTTTTTTTTTTCTTCAGAAGGCATATGCAGTCACCAGAAAGAGACAGAAAGCAAGCATCCCCTGATGGGGCAAAGTCATGTCACAATCTCTTCTCCTATCAACAGGGATTTGGGGTGCACACACATGTTGAGTGTTTTTCAACCCACTGAGGCCAAGACTGTAATTCGAGCTATGTAAAATTGGTCATGTTAGATCTGGCTCCGTTAACTGCTAGGCTACAGGGTCAGCCCAGATGTGTTTACCTTTGACATGAGTGAAGAATCTAGACGTAAAACAATCAATACTGTGTGAGTCCATATTTATGAAATGCTAAAATGGGAAAAACTAAGCTATGATTATATGAAAAAGAAAAAATAATTATTGGTTAAAAAAAAATGAGGGACCAGCAGTTGGCATAATGACTCTCTCTCTAGACTACCATGTAGTCGACCGCAGTTAGAGTCCTTGACCCAGTGGCTTAAACTCACATTGGGTCCGTGTGTGTGTGTGCCCAAGATCCTAAGAGAAGAATGGAGAAGGGATTGTAGCGTGACCATCTCCTGGGAGGTGATTTCTTGCTTTCTGTTTCTTTCTGGTGAGCGCACACAACCTACAGTAAAAATCTCTCTCCCCCCAAAAAAAGAAAAAATTCAATGAGAAGTGACAGTATTTTGCATTTTTTCAGTATTTTAATGTATGATTTCCAATGTGTGTTACTATGTTTAGTTGAAGTGCATAAATAAAATCGATCCTCACAGATATGCATGAAGGAGAGTATTTTAATAGCTTTTTCAAATAATTATGGGTAGTTTCCTTTGATGTTATGCTAGAATGCCAAACATACTCATTCTTTAGAAGGGTAGTTTGAATGTGGAATCTGAAGCTCTATCAATGAACTTTCCATAGTCTGTAACAAAAAATTCATTGGCATATTCTTCACTTAGAATGGCTCTTATCCACGCCTGATTGCGTATTATCAAGCACTGGTTGTCTAGATGAGTTCACTGAGTTATACAAATAATATTAGCAATTTAATTACATAGAACTTTCCGACAAATAACTTTGTTAATATCACTAGCTGGGTCAGCTGGTGGTACAGTGAAGGCTGCTGGATCCCACATGGCTAACAGCATTGTAGAAGTCCTGGACCTGACAGCTTGAAAAAGATTCTGGGCACAAGTTCCTGCGTGCCCCAAATTCCAAGAGGCCATTCTCCCCGGACGATAATTTCTCCTCTCTCTCTCTTTCTCTCTCTCCAGTGCATGCACCCTATAGTGAAAACAAACAAACAAAAAAAACAAACAAAACAAAACAAAAAGGGTAAATAGTTGGACTTTTTAAAGAGGACAGTGGGCAACTAATTAAGGCAGAGAAATAGGTGTCTGATTTGTGTTCCCTAAACCATAACGACATTTGGGGATGACAGCTTAACATTTAATATAGAATATAAGGGGGGTCAACAGATGGTGTGTGGTTGGAGTTCTGGACCTGGTGGCTTGTTTTCTCACTTTCTCTCTCTCTGTGGTCAAATTAGAAAAAGAGTAATAATAATAATAAATAAAAAATATATAGAATATGAGTCTCAACTAGGGGTCGGCAGGTGGCGTGGTGATGAAGTAGCTGGATTCTTATCATGGCCAACTATGGTTCAAGACCTGGGGTTGGGGGACCAGCAGTTAGCGTAATGGCTATGTCGCTGGATTCCCACATAGTCGACTGCGGTTCGCGTCCTGGACCCAGTGCCTTAAACTCACACCGGGCGCGTGTATGCCCAAGATCCTGAGAGGAGAATGGAGAAGAAGGGATTGCAGTGTGGCCATCCCCCCTGGGGGGTGATTTCTGGCTTTCTGTCTCTCTGTCTCTGTCTGTCTGGCGAGTACACACGCCCTATAGCAAAAACCTCTCCAAGAAAAAAAGACCTGGGGTTGGTGGCCTGCTTTCTCATTTTCCCTTTCTCTCTCTCTGGTCAAATTAAAAATAACAATAACAACAACAAATAAAGTAAAATTATTTTTTTAAAAAAGAGTCTCAACTATACTTTCACAATTATTTATTTCTCAGATGGAAGAACTGCGACGCAAAGATAGGCTAGCTGATTTGCCTAAAGTCACTAAGTTAATAAAGGACAAAACCAAGTCTTTTTACTAACACGATCAAGGTACTAACACGACTAAGTTAGAAATGTCCTACTTAGCCTAACAAGGGGGCGGCAATCGGATGTCTTTAGAATTAGCGCACTTGTTAGACGCACAAGGAGAAATGGGAGTAGGCACACGTGGAGGATGTTAAAGCGGTGGGCACCTAGGATTCCGGACTCCCGGACCTGGTGGCTTTCTTCTTCGGCAGACCCGGGCCGGGTACACAAGAGACGCCGATCAGGCAGCGCTGGGGTGGTGCCGGCAGCTCCTAAGGGCCAAGCCGGGCACGGCCGGAGCAGTGTGAGGGGATGCCGGGACGCCCATAGCCCATATCCGGAGAAGTGAGCCACCTACTCACATTCGTACTTCCGACACACTGGAGGGTACTTGGCCTTGACCGCCTTCTGCTCCTCAGTCAAACTGTAATCTCTGAAATCCTCCTCTTCCTGCGCCATGGTCGCAGGGCCGGACTCCGTACTTCCGCACTAGACCTGCCAGACTGGTGCCCCGCGACACAGCTTCCGCTCTGGACCCCGCCCCTTGGGGGCGCGCTTAAAGCCCCAGGAGCCCGTTCTCCAGGCCCACAGACAACAGGCGTACTTCACGGACGTCCGCCTGCGTCACTCGCATAAAGCCAGAGCCCCACGTTCAGCTGCTTCAGCCTTGTTCTCTCTAAAGACAAAAGGAGGTGAAGGAGCCTTGCATCAGACACCTGAGTCTAACTACGGAGGCCTCTTCCCTCTGCCTGCTCCTAGAGTTGATAGTTAGACCCGGAAGCATCCGAGACTTCGTACTCCGGAGTCGCAGGCTTAGCGGGCTTGAAGAAAATGGCCGTCCCCGGGGCCGTGCGGCCATCCCCCGTCACGTGACTGGGGACGGGTGCAGTCCCATCAGCCCCCGCGCAATCCTTGGAAGTAGGCTGTGGCGCGGCAAGGGAAGGGGCGGAGCGCGCGGCGACCCCGTGACCTTCTGCGTCCGGATAGGCCGAGGACGCGGCTTCCCCGCCCACCGTGCCGTTCGGGGCGTTCGGGTTGGCCAGAGTTGGCGCGAAGGTGCGCGAGTCGGCCCTCACGCAGGGGCCGCAGGAAACAATAGAGGCCGCGCGAGCGGAGCGAGCGCTCGTCGCCTCCCCGCCCCTCACGCAACGCTCTACCCGGGATCTCCCCGGCTTGCCTGCCCGCCATGGCCGACAAGGAAGGTGAGGGTGCCAGGGCCGCCCCAGGTGGGAGAGGGCGGCCGGGGCTGCGCCGCGGCCTGGATGCGGCCTAACAGCGAGGCAGGCCGGGCTTGGCTGGCTGCAGCGCCCTGCGTCCGCGGGTGAGGAGGGAGCTCCCGCAGGGCGGGCTGGCGGCCCGCGACTGGTGCCGGCCGCCTCGGGGCGGAGCTGGTGGTGCGGCCTTGGGGTGTCTGTTCTCCTCGCGCTCCCTGTCGGTGCCGCCGACCCCCTGTTCTGGCCTCGCTGGTCCTGGTGCAGTTCCGCGCGAGCTGGCTCCCGAGGCCGGACGCCGTCGGCGCAAAACGGTTAACGGAGTGGCGGCTTGGGATGACCCGCGGAGTTCCGACCCCGCGGAGGCGGAGAGGGCCTTGGTGCTCGCGCCTCGGGAGATTGTGACCAGTTCCTCGATTTCAGAGGCTGGTCGTAGAAGTCACGCCGGGTGCTTTGGAGAAGTGTACGCGGTTTCCGATTCTCTTGGCTAATCAATTTGCTTTAAAAATTTAGCAGCCTTTGACGATGCAGTGGAAGAACGTGTGATCAACGAGGAGTACAAAATATGGAAAAAGAACACTCCTTTTCTTTATGATTTGGTGATGACCCATACTCTGGAGTGGCCCAGCCTCACTGATCAGTGGCTTCCAGATGTAACCAGACCTGAAGCCTGGAGTGGCCCAGCCTCACTGCTCAGTGGCTTCCAGATGTAACCAGGTGACGTGAGTCTGTTGAACGTTATTTGTTGCGTCTTCAGTGTCGCTTTCTCACATTGATTCTGTTTTTCTCTCTGGTCACTCGGAGGGGGCAGTTGTCAGAACCTGTTGGTGAAACTTTTTTTTTGAGGCCAAAAAAAATGTAAAGTTACTTTTTTATTTACCTTACCAAAGAAAACACGTTTGTTTTCTCATACTGAGTCCAACAGCCATATTACCTTAGTTGACCAAGTAATAATGTAAAACCTGTCATCTTTCAAATAGTGTTATGAGTTCAGTTATCAGAACGTTTGAATACTCAAAATCATTGGTAGTGGCTGCTTAATACAAAGCCTGGTATGTCCTGCTTCCTGCCTTCTAGGAGCATATTGTCTAATGGAAGATACTGGTGTAAACTAGAACTAGATGGGATGAGAGCTGTTGTAAAGATAATTAGGGTACTTGGAAAATGGCCGAAGGGATGGTTTGCATGTGAGGGAGTTGGGTATAGTGAGGGCTGTAGAGATTGATCACATCTGTTCCTTACACTTAGGTAGCTTACCTCTGATAGGATACAGTGTTGTTCAATTGAGCTTGGCCGGTGCTGTGTTGTGGGTTTTTTGTTTATTTTTTGAGAGAGAGATATTTTTGCTATAGGGCACATGTGCTCACCAGAGAGACATAAAACAAGAAATCTCTAGGGAGGATGGCTATGGTACAGTTCCTTCACTTGCATTCTCCTCTCAGGATCTTGGGCACACACACACCTGGTGTGAGTTTCAAGTCCCCAGGTCTGGGACTTGAACTGCTATAGACCACGTGGGAGTTCAGCACCGTAATTAATTATAAAAGTGGAACATAAAATTATCAGAGGATGGGATCAGGAGTTAGCGTAATGGCTAGGTCACTGAACTCCCCTGTAGCCGACCGTGGTTCGAGTCCTGGACCCGGTGGCTTAAACTCAAGCCGGGCACTTGGTGTGTGCATGCCCGAGATCCCGAGAGGAGAATGGAGGAGAAGGGATTGTGGCGTGGCCATCCCCCTGGGTGGTGATTTCTCACTTTCTGTCTCTGTCTTTCTGGTGAGCACACACGCCCTATAGCAAAAAACCTCTTTAAAAAAAAATTATCAGAGGAAGAGTTTTGTGTGGTTTGTTTTTAGTTTTCTATAGGGTGTAGAGGGGATGGCCACTTAGTTAATCCTTTCTCTGGATTTTGGGCACACATTCACACACATTGTACTTTTTTTTTCCCCCAAGCTGCCCAGTCTAGGACTCAAACTGCAGTCAGCTATATGGGATTCAGCTGCCTTAACCTCCGTGTCATATGGCTGGCCCAGAAGTGAATTTAAATTATAGGTATTAAAGTTTCAGGGACCGGCAGATGGTGTAGTTGTTAAATTGCTAAATTCCCGTGTAGTAGACCGTGGTTCTAGACCCAGACCTGTCTGCTCAAAACTCTGGGTGAATGTACATGCGAGCCCAAGATCCTGAGGAGAATGTAGGAAAAGGGATTGCAGTGGAGCTATCCCCCCTGGGGTCTGATTCTCACTTTCTGTCTCCAGCAAGCGTACACACCGTATAGCAAAAATCTCTCTTAAAAAAGCTTTTTTTCAGCAAGACAAGTGGACCTATTTTGATAATAGGTTGTTACATAATTTGACTTTTCTGGGCCAGCAGGTGGCGTGGTGGTTGAGGGATCTAGATACCCATATAGGTGGCTGTGGTTTGAGTCCAGGGCTGGCAGCTTGTTTTCTCACTTTCTCTCTC